CACTCGCGTAAACAACACACACCGTGACTGACGCTCTCCGTGAACGGACGCTTTTCTCTGTTGCAAGCAAACCACCAACTTACGGCAACCTGCCCTGTGTACAGAATAAACTAGTCCTCACAGCTCCCTGACTTCTGACAGTGGAAGAAACGAACATATTGTGCGTGCTTTAAGTCGATCTCACATCCATGACCACCACTAATTGGTGACCCCGAATTTCCGAACACTGGAATTCCGCAAACATTTCGTCCACAACAACAATCTTCTGGAGACCTACAGCGCGATGTCCCAAGACCAGAAGTCACTCATCAACTCAAATTCTCAAGGAACTAGCGTACGCTTGGATCGGCTCGAGGAGGTATTAATGCGCCTGAAAGCCCAGCTCGCTGCAGTTACCACTAAGGGTCCGCGGCGAACACCAAACCGTCGCCCTACTTCCTCCGTTTCCCACACCCGCCGTCCACAATCTCCAAGTAGCGTCTGCTGGTATCACCAACAATTTGGAGGAGCAGCTCGCCGATGTCTTCAGCCATGCTCTTTCAAGGCATCTCTAACGGCCTCCGGCAGACGATCCCATCTGACAGTATAGTCCACTGCTGCTGGAAGCGTTGCCAATCTCCACACTCGCCGTTTGTTCCTCTGGGACCGTATCGCTGGCGCCAAATTCCTTGTCGACTCTGGTGCCGAGGTTAGCGTGGTTCCACCAACTCCGACCGAACGTAAAACCCGCAGCTCTTTTTGTCTAACAGCTGCCAACAACTCCAGCATCTCCACATTTGGGCAGCGTTCCATCACACTTGATTTGGGCCTTAGTCGAATTTTCCGATGGGTTTTCATTATTGCCGACGTTTCCGTCGCCCTCATAGGCGCCGATTTCCTAGCTCACTTCAATCTTCTAGTTGATTTGAAGAATCGCCGACTCGTTGACTGCATCACCGACCTTCATGCCCGTTGTCAATCCGATGTGAACCCCTGCGTCAACCCTCTCACTGTTATGCCCATCTCTGACTGTCCTTTCCACTCACTCCTCAGGCAGTTTCCCCGCCTGACCAACCCGTCATTTCGTGAATTGGACATCAAACACACAGTCACTCACCACATTTCCACCAATGGACCTCCCAAATCTTGCCGACCACGTCGTCTTGCTTCGGACCGTTTGAAGATTGCCAAGGCAGAGTTCGAACACATGCTCGAGCTCGGCATCATCCGACAGTCCGACAGCTGCTGGGCATCACCCCTCCACCTTGTCCCCAAGAAGAATGGCGACTGGCGACCGTGTGGTGACTATCGGGCGTTGAACTCTGTGACTGTCCCCGATCAGTATCCCGTCCAGCACATCCAAGACTTCACCCTTTCGCTACATGGTAAGCGAATATTCTCTAAGATCGACCTTGTGCGTGCCTACCACCAAATCCCGATCGAGGCCAGTGATGTTCCGAAAACTGCAGTGACCACTCCCTTTGGGTTATTCGAATTCACTCGTATGCCCTTTGGTCTGAGGAACGCCACTCAAACCTTTCAGCGATTCAGCTTTGATGGGACCCCGACGGGTCTTTAATAAAAATTATCTATCTATCTATCATTGATCAGGTTCTGCGAGGTCTCGACTTCGTCTACGCCTACATTGATGATTTTCTAGTGGCTAGTTCTGACGCTGCTGAACACGAGATTCATCTTCGACAGCTCTTCGAACGGCTCGACTCCTACGGCGTTATCATCAATGCCGCCAAATGTGATTTTGGAGTCCCCAGTCTTATCTTTCTGGGTCACGAAGTGAACTCAGATGGGATAAAGCCCGTCCCGGAAAAAGTTTCGGCCATATCAACGTTCCCCGTTTCGACAACCATCAGCCAACTACGCCGATTCTTGGGGATGGTGAACTACTATCACCGTTTTCTTCCCCATGGTGCCACCATACTGCAGCCTCTCAACAGCTTGCTGACCCACTCCAAGAAGACACTAGTGATGACTGAGGAGGCCGTCAGGTCCTTCAATGACGTCAAGGCCGCATTTGCGGACGCAACATTGCTTGCCCATCCTCGCTCAGGTGCCCAACTAACTCTCATGACAGATGCTTCCAGCACTGCCGTTGGTGCGTCACTTCAGCAAACTGTTAGTGGTGTTCTACAGCCTTTGGCTTTCTTCTCGAAGAAGCTCAGCCCAGCAGAGACCCGCTACAGTGTCTTCGGCCGCGAACTCCTTGCCGTCTATCTATCCATCCGGCACTTCCGCCATTTCCTCGAGGGTCGTGAATTTGTTGTTCTCACAGATCACAAGCCACTCCTTTTTGCACTGAGGGCCTCTCCCGATCGATACTCGCCCCGTGAAATCCGTCATCTTGACTTCATCTCACAGTTTTCCTGCGACATCCAACATGTCCATCGTAAGGAAAATGTGGTTGCTGATGCTCTTTCAAGAATCGAGATGGCTTCCATCACAACAGACGCCATAGACTTCACACTCATGGCTGAGGCTGAGCGATCGGATGACGAGCTCTCCCAATACCGCCACGAGAACTCTTCTTTACACCTTCAAGATGTCCCCCTTCCCACTGGCACTGGCACCATCACGTGCGACCTTTCTACCGGACACGAACGTCCTTTTGTTCCAGCAACTTTACGACGACGAGTGTTCAACGCTCTTCACAATCTATCCCACCCTGGAGTCCGGGCGACAGCGAAACTCATCACTGACCGATTCGTCTGGCCCAACATCAATCGGGATGTACGGCGTTGGACCCGATCTCGTCTATCATGTCAGCGAGCCAAGACGCATCGGCATACTATTACTCCGCCAGGTACTTTCGCCACTCCTGATGCACGCTTCAGTCATGTACACATTGACCTGGTAGGTCCGCTGCCACCATCTAACGGTTCTACCTATATGCTGACATGCATTGATCGTTTTACTCAGTGGCCGGTTGCTGTGCCTATTCCGGACATCAGTGCCGAAACCGTAGAATAGCTTTCTTGACTCGTTGGGTGTCCAATTTTGGAGTTCCTGCGACTGTCACCACTGACCGCGGATCCCAATTCGAGTCCACGCTGTTTCGCGAACTCACATCCCTTCTCGGTACCAACCGAATCCGAACAACAGCGTACCACCCTCAAGCAAATGGTCTCGTCGAACGCTTTCATCGACAGCTCAAGACTTCCCTTATGGCCCAGCCCGATCCTTCCCGATGGTCTGATCACCTTCCCCTGGTGCTGTTGTCCCTCCGTTCCACTCTCATGGCCGACATCGGTTGCACTGCAGCTGATCTTGTCTACGGAACCTCACTACGACTGCCCGGTAAGTTAGTGTCTCCCTCAAACATGCTAACGTTTTTCGAACCTTGCAGTTATGTGGAGCAGCTGCGTAGTGTCATGCGCAAACTCCGCGCAACGCCCCCTCGGGCGTCACCGGCCAATTCCTTCATCCCTCCCGACCTGGATAAGTGCTATTTCGTCTTGGTTCGGCATGACGCTGTCCGACGACCACTCCAAACACCCTATGACGGGCCGTATAAAGTCCTCCGCCGATCTGACAAAGATGTTGTCATCGACCGCAACGGCAAGACCGACACAGTCAGCATTGATCGCGTCAAGCCGGCCTACATCGACGACAGTGACCATCCCTCACCCCAACACTGTACCCCGCCTCAGACAGTGCGGCCCCCTCCACCTACTGGCGACAGGCCCCCTCCGGTTCGCCACACACGATCTGGTCGCCACGTCCACTGGCCCGACAGGTTTGTGGCTGGCTAGCGTGTCGACGCCTTCACTTTGTTTGGTGTCTGGGGGGGGAGTTGTAGCAGCTGCTCCAGTCCCCCTTTTCTCCGGCTCCCTTTTGTCGGTCGACGACCGCGATAAGCACTGACAGGCCGCTGACGCACGACCACCCCCGCCGGCTAGAACCGGGACACCTCCTGTCCAGCTGCAGTGACTCCCGGCTGCACTCAAAAACTAGTATCGCCTAACGCGCGTCGAACGCTTTGGCTTGATTCCCGTGAGGCCTTGTGAGTATGCGCCCTCCATTCGTCCCCTAATTAGTCCAATCACACGACCACCGCGCAGACAGTCACCCCCTCCTGCTGACTTAGACACTGACACTCGCGTAAACAACACACACCGTGACTGACGCTCTCCGTGAACGGACGCTTTTCTCTGTTGCAAGCAAACCACCAACTTACGGCAACCTGCCCTGTGTACAGAATAAACTAGTCCTCACAGCTCCCTGACTTCTGACAGTAGAAGAAACGAACATATTGTGCGTGGTTTAAGTCGATCTCACATCCTTGACCCCCACAAAGTCTTTGGAAAGCCTCAACAGCAACGTTGCCTGCCGCCATTGCTCCTATAACGTGCCGTGACCTTGGCAAATTTAAATACCCGCGCATAGGAAACCTGCCCAATCAGCTGACGGACTCCCACCAATCAATGGCAAGGCACAAGGCCAATCAGCTGACTGACTCCACCAATCAGCTGACCGACCCTAGCCAATCAGAAAACCGAAATGAGAACCAATAAGGGCAGGTGACGTTCCGCGATGTCGTTGAGCAGTTCATCGAGGCGTATAGTCAGAAAGGTAGTACAGAGTTGCGCGGGAGGAGAACGGGAGATTCAAACAAACAGTACGAAGGTTGTAGAAAGGCATAACGACGTAATTTTCGGAGACAAGCAAAAATGCAACGTATATGATAAAAGGTGTCGATAAAAAGGAGACAACATACGCGGGAACTTACACCAAGCATAATAAGTAGAAGATGTTCACTACTCACTTCGCTAAAACGCATAGATGCCTATTCCTATGCATCATATTATGCGATTTTGTTCATAAAAAGCCTTAAAAAGACCTCCAACAACATTGGGAGTATATAGCTGGCACTATTTGCGGTGTAGCGGATGACTACTTTGAGGGTGGCACACAGGAGATAGCTTGGAGCACTGGGAATCATTCCCGGATCGGAACGAGCAGAAAAGAGTTGTTGGACAAGTAATAGCACTTATCCATACGAAAGCAGAGGAAAGATTAAGCTAATACAAACATACATATATATGAAGAAAGGACGGAGATGTAGCACATATAATAATATTCTGTAGTACAAGAAAGGACAAATCACAACAAGCATGTGTCCGTCTGGACTAAGAGGTGAAGCCGACATGCTTGCTAAACAAACGGTAGGGAATGCGGCGTTGTGGGCAGTTAGAGGGGAGAACTGTGAAAGGCACTGATGTATAGTGAGCAGAGCACGCGTTACGGCGATAGCTGTGGGCTTGATGTCGACAGTTGAGTGGGTAATGGACACTGGCTATCTTCGCTGGCACGCAGTCATATTGAAACGTCGTGAATACATTCCCGAGTCCGAAGCAGGTGATTTTAACCTATCTATTCTCTACAAACTGTGGTCTATTTGGACGACGTGATCGTCTCCGGGGAGTTGGTGGACGAACATAACCGTCGACTCAGTGGTACTGACGGCCTTGCGGGACGCGGGTCTACGCCTCAGTCCGGCAAAGTACACTTCCCTTAAACAGAACGTCGCTTATCCTGACTATGAAGCCAGTGCAGACGGTATCTGCGCCTCAACAGACGCAATCGACATTATCCACACCTGGCCCGTGCCAACGTCCGCCAGCAGTTTTGTGAGCCTTGCCTCATTACAGACGCTCCATTCTACATTCCATGGAGGTCGACCGACCTCTTCATCGACTCATCGAGAAGGGGAGGGGAAGGAAGGGACCGAGGATTGCCAAACAGATGTCAATGATCCCGCAGGATACGAGCGGTGTCTGATAAACCACAAAACTTTGCGTCAGTAGGACGGTGCCGCTACAGTAAATGCTGTCGTTGTCAGTGAGCCGACACGGCATAACAGGACGGTTGCATAAAGCACAGATTCCGACACGGCATTATTAGACGCCTGGACGAAACGGCGTGGCGTTTGTCGTCGACGGACGTTATCGAGTCGGCATCCACTGAGCGAGTCCTGGACCTTCCGATGTGTATAAAGCAACCATCTCAGATCGATTGTACCTTTCAGAAATGCAGGGGGCTAAGGTATGAACGAATCTGTTAGGGCGCGTGATGACAACCCCTTTAATGAAACGATGGAGTGAGACCTCCTCGGTGTCCTCCGCCGTCAAGGAGTAGTAAGCTTCTTGACATAATCTAAACAGATGTCCGGCAAACTGTCGAGGTTGATGTTGCCGCCAGCTAAGAACTTCCTAGATAGACTGACCGACTGATGGTCGAGGCGAGAGTAGTCGGTGTAAGTGCCAACTGATTTGCATAGCGGGCATTAGCAGAAACGCCGGAATTAAGCGCCTGCCGTAACTGCCGGCTGGTCAAGTGTTTCTATAGTGATCGGCTCCTTACTTCCACTGGCATTTAATAATAATAATAATAATAATAATAATTTGTTTAATGCCAGTTTGCAGGCATTGTCTAAGGAAGCGATTAAACACAAATGCGACCAGCAGTGAAAAAACCTCCTGAGGTAAAGGAATAAAAATATAGTTGATGGTGGTTTTTGTGGTTTGGAGGGTTCAGGAGGAAAAATTGCTGGTGGTAGAATTTCGACCGTCAAGAAGAGGGGAGGGGGTTGCACGGTATCGGAGATTATCGGACGTCAATTCCTTTCATGAAGTTGGGGATAGTCAAAGTAGAGGCGTTGAGGAACAGCTGGTGAGACCGCCCATAGTGTTCAGAGACCACAAACGCCATCGCTACGGTAGAGTCAATCAGCGGATTCAGCACGCAAAGCTTGTGGGAGCTTTTCTGAATACAAAAATCGAATAATAGTTTTCTTAAATAAAGGATAATTTTGCAGAGTTTTCACACTCATGGGTAGTTTATTCCAAATAGCAA